CGGGCGCGGTCCGACCCGGGAGAGCGCCCGCCGCGCAGCCTGCCCGGGCCCGCGCGGAGAAGCCGGAGACCTGGGGCTCCGGGCCGGACCCTGGCTGCCGCCGCCGCGGGAAACTTGTCTGTGAGAATTGCAAACTTCAGTTTTGCGCCCGGAAGCTCCATTTTTGCGAGGGACGGTGTCTCCGGTGCGACACTCCTGGGTGCCTCGCGGGAGACCGAGCGTCTGGCTCAGAACGCGAGCTTTGGCCCGGAGGGTGTCTAGCCGGGACCTCCAAGGGCCAGAGCCCCACGCTAGCGATCTTGGGAGGCAGAGGGAGCGGAGCGATCGGGCCCTCCGCCCCGTGCGAGGTCTGCAGAGATTACCCCGCTGGGTGGCGTCCGGAAATCTGTCCTGGGTTGGAGAGCCTTCATCTGCTTTTCCGCCCTCCGCGAAGCTACAGTGCCTGACGTTCTGGTGCACTTACTTAGGCGTTGCTTATTATTTTTTGCTCTTCTTTTCTAGGTTATTTTCCTTCATGGATTGGGAGATACTGGGTAGGTAATCACTAGTTACAGTAACGAAACGGGGTCGAAGGTTTAATGTTTGCAAAATGCTGAAGTTGTAAGACAAAGATTGCAAGTAAACGTTTTTTAAGAGTTCAGTGGTCAGATGCAATCTTTTCTGTTTGTTCAGTGCCCAGAATTTCCTCTTAGCTTGAATTTATTATTTTTCTACTGCCTGCAGGTATTAACATTGTGAACTCCTCCTGGGTTACTTTGGGTATTGGATAACAGAGTGGAATGTTGGTAGAGGCGGCATGCAACTGAGAGCTTTCCAGGAGGGTTAAAATTTCAGAATGGGTTGAGAGGTACTAGTTGGTTTTGTTAAGAAGCATAGTGGCAACGTAAAACTTAGAAAGTTCTGAATGAGGGATTAGATGATCCCTTAAAAGAGAAAATCAATTGCAGGGCAGGATAAGCAACGCAAAGATTTAGAGATTGGACAGGGCTTGGTGGTGGTGCACACCTGCGCCTGCAATCCCAGCTGCTCCTGACGACCACCAGGATTTCGGTGCCAGCCTGCGCTGTGTAGTGAGCTCAGGCCAGTGTGACAGAAAGATTTGGTGGCTTATCAAAAAAATTTATGGGGCCGGGGAGAGAGCTCAGTAGAATAAGCACTTACTTGCTTATTCTACTTGGCAAGCGCAAGGGCCCGAGTTCAATCCCTGGTTCCGCAAAAAAAGAAAAAAAAATGAAGTAAGTCACATTGTGATTTCTCTTTCAGACTTTTTCTCTATTGAGAGGCTTTTTGGTTTTATATTTGAATTGTGTTAATCTATTTGAAACTTAGGTAAAATATGAGTTTTGTTAAAAACTGCAGTTGGAGGAAAAATAGAAAAACACATTTTAATAAAATAGCTGAAACACTAACAGCTGTTCTTTAAAATGAGACATTGGGTGGGTTCTGGTGGAGCAGGCCTGTTAACCCAACCACTAGGGCACTGAGGCAGGAGGATCTCTGTCTCTCTCCCTCTTTCTCGGTTTTGAAGTTGTCATTTTATTTTATTTTTGGTACCCGTAATCGAACTCAGGACCTTATGATTGTCAGGCACGTACTGTGCCACTGAGGTGTATCCCAGCTCCCTTTTTTTTGGTCAGAAGGATCTCTCAAGCCCAGGTTTGAGAACAGCCTGGACAACATAGACCCTGTCTCAAAATAGATAGACAAGGAGGCGTTGGACTAGGTTGGTTCTCCTAAGCACTAAGCAGGGCCAGACCCTGCGTGGCCTCTGGTATTAGTCACGACAGACTGTTGAAGATTCCATGTCTAGAGACATGGGCTTCATCAGTTCCTCGGAGGGCTTTTTCAAAGTCTTTCATGAGTGCTGTGTTAGTGTAGAATTAGAGGAAAGGTTATAGGACTCCTGGCAATGGTGAGAAGGCATAGAGCCCGTGTTTTACAGCCAAGCTTTTCTTGATTCAGCTAGTGTTATGGATGGTCACGACCTTATTACCTCACCCATAAGGAGAGCATTTTTTTTTCTTTTTTTAAAATTTAGTACTGGGGATTGAACTCAGGACCTTGTGCTTGCCAGGCAGGTGCTTAAACCGCTGAGCTATCTCCCCAGTCACGGAGAGCTTTTGGGCCTGAAGGACCAGTCCAACCAAAAGAAAAAAGAGTAACAGTGGGCTGGTTCTCTGCGGGGTCCAGTGTAGCCAGACTCCTTGGGGACTGCAGTGGGCTGGCCAGACAGACAAGCTGAGAGAACAAACATAGTGAAGAAAATCAGGGTCAGATTAAAGATCTCAGGAGCATCTAGGGCACCTTGGTGGAGCTAAAAGTCTTGCTGAGTGTGGTTGATCGTGTACGTAGCCCAGCCTGCATTGGAGGCTCCGGCAAGAGGCTCAAAACCTTGAGGCAAACCTGAGCAACTTTTGAGACTTTTGTATAGGGACGGGGTCCTAGTTCAGTGGTAGATGGCTTGCCCAGCACATGCATCCCCTGGGTTCAGTCCCCACTGCTAAAAGAAATAAAAATCCCTGTAAAAATTAAAGGCTTCTGGGCCGGGTAGATGACTCAGGAGCATAAGTGCTTCTCTGGCAAGCACAAGGGCCTCAGTTCAATCCCTGGTTCTGCCAAAAAAAAAAAAAAGCTGTTAATTCTTGAAGACTTGGTGAAATAACATTGAAGAAAAGCTGACTCTGGATTGGGTCCATGAATATATGATAAACCTCAGAACCAGTTTATCTGATGGTTGGCAACTTAATGCTTAAAATACTTGTAGAGAATTCACTTATTAAAGGGCTTATAGTTATAAACTGAAACTAATACTATTGTAGACCATGTTATATTAACTTCAAAAAATAATTTTCATGATTTTTAAAAATTTTTTAAGCAGGGTCTGACTATAGTTCAGATTGGCCTTGAACTCTCTGGGTAGCCTCGGCTGGCCTTGAACTTGTAGCAGTCTTTCCTGAGCCCCCCAAGGGCTGTGATTACCAGTGTGTGACCCTAGGCCTGGCAGTCTTTGTGATTTTTGAAAATGATACATTTGTGTTGTAAAAAGGTCATAATGCAAATGTTTTAGAAGAATGAAAAGCCAGGTGTGGTGGCGAAGCCCTCCCATCCCAGCGCTCACTGCTCTGCCCTTCCGGCCACCAGCCCCATTCATGTTTCCTTGACTGACCCCGTGTGGTGACGTCCCTGTCTGGCCAGATTCCAAGCCAGAGTCCCCTGTTACGTTCAGTTTTCAAGTTCCCTTAGTCTAAGACAGACCTTCCTTGTCTTACCTGACTGGCGTACAGGTCACTGTGTGGAATGGCCTTCCTTGGGGATTAATCTGCTGTCTCCTGGAGATTTATGCATTCTTGGCAGGAACACAAAAATGTTGCTGTGCTTGTTGCTGTGCTAGGCCCCCACTTTTGCTGATCTTTATCCCGTTATTGGTGGAGGTGTATTTTATTACTTGGTTTGAGGGTGTCAGCCAGATTTTTCTGCAGTAAAATCAATAATTATGAAACAGGGCTGGAGAGATGGCTCAGTGGTCTAAAGCACCTACTTGGAACAAGCTCGGCAAAGCACAGGGACCGCGGTTCGATCCTCCAGCACCACATGCCAGCCAGCCGCGCCCCCTGGTGGGCTGAGCTGGCCACACACACACACAATAAATAAATGTTAAAAAAAAAAAAGAATATTAAAAAAAAATAAAATAAATAAAAAAATAATAATTATGAAACAAAATAAAAGATCTATCTTTTTATATCTTTAAAATATTACAGGGGGCCCAGCCCTAGCTCAGTTCTTTAAGTGGCTGCTTCCACAATGCTGGCAGCTTCAGTTTGCTGTAGTTCGATCCCCACAACACTCCAGCCATGCAAAAGTGCCGTGAAGGCATTCAAGGAGCAAAACACACACACACACACACACAAAAAATTCCTTAAGGGGCTGGAGAGATGGCTCAGTGGTCTAAAGCACCTACTTGGAACTAGCTTGGCAAAGCATCAGGGACCGCGGTTCAATCCCCCAGCACCACATGCCAGCCAGCCCCGCCCCCTGGTGGGCTGAGCTGGCCACACACACCTCTCTCTCTCTCTCTCTCTCTCTCTCTCTCTCTCTCTCTCTCTCTCTCTAATAAATAATAAAAAAAAAAATTAAAAAAAGATGGTTAAAAAAATAAATAAAATAAAATATTACAAAGTATTTTAGAGGGAGGTGCTGTGACATTTTGAAGGTATCTTTTCCTCACCATTTTTACCCATGGATTTAGCATCTATTAATGGTTCTTGCCTGAATTTATTACTGTGACAAGTTGACAACTGTCAAAGGTCCTTCTATCACCACGACACAGTCAGTACCTGACTGCTGCAATTTAAAGAGGTTTATTTTGGCTCACAGTTTGTAGCGCTTCAGCTCTTGGTCTGGCGCCTCCACGGTAGGGTGGTGTGGCAGAGGGTGCGCTAGAGGGAGGGATGAGCTGGTAGAGGGAGGGATGAGCCGCTCACAGCAGGCATCCAGGGAGCCGAGACCAAGGGAAGAGTGCGAGTGCGCAGGAGCTGGCCTCCGTGCTCCGCCTCTGACAGCCTCTGATGGCCTCTGACGCCCCTGACGGCCCCTGTGCGGACCAGCCCTCCCCTCCTGCATCTGCTGTCAGCGTCCAGTGCCCTGCACCTTGAGCACAGGCGGCTCCTGGGGGACATTGGGATATAAACCACAGCACCAAATACCTTTGACATTTAAGTACTGAAGGGAAAGATGTGACCTTTTAAATTCTTTTACTCTAGTCTTGCACTGTCATGGAGTAAAACTTCCTGTCCTTAATGTGTATGTATGTTTTCACTTAAATGTTTTAAATCGTTGTAGACTCTTGGGTTCTTGTTTATCTCTGGGGTTTACAATCTTGTTAAATCTCTGATTTCTTCTGATGCTGAAATTGTCTTCCATTTGACCAGTGGGGACAACTTCAGGCTGGCTCTTGGTGTCTTTTAGACACAGCCTCATCACTCCTTGAGCACCCGCTGGTCTGTTCACCCTTCTCCAGTCCTGAACTCAGTCATTTTCCCAAGATCCCTAGTTTCTTGTATTAAAGCGTGACTTTCAGGACCCAAGATCTGGGAGCACTGTGTGCTTGTCGATCGCTTCTAGGCCCTTGCAGTGGCTCCATCAGGGAAAAGTACTTCCAGCACTTTTGACATTATAAATAGTAAAAGTCTTTGAGCTTACACGGCTTAGCCCAATTTTAGCCCATACCACAGGACTTCCCGTATCCTTGCCTTGCCATATTTGTAGCTCCTGTGGGGAACGGGGCTCCTGATCTGGCCCTTCAGGCCGGTGGTGCCCTCCTCCAGCTTACGGCTCCACAGCTGTGCTTCCCGCCACCTTCTGACTGTGACGTCTGACCACGCAGGTGAGGGACCTGGGAGAGGAGAGGCCAGTGGGAGCCTGGCCGCCTTCATGCAGCAGCAGCAGCGCCCCCGTGCCCTCTCCTCGATCCAGTCCAGGAATTCCTGGGCGGTGTCACCCGTCTCTTGAGATTTCTGGGCCAAGGAGATTGTAA